AATATCACACGCAAGTAAAATCTTGCTGAAGATAATTCAAAAATGGTTGCAGCAATATATTGACAGAGAACTTCCAAAATGCAAGCTAGATTCAGAAGAGGATGTGGAATGAGAGATATCATTGTTGATGTTAGATGGATCTTGGATGAAAGCAAAGAATACCCAGAAGATGTTTACTTGTATTTTATTGACTATGCAAAAGCATTCAATTGTGTGGAGCATAACAAATTATGGATAACATTGAGAAGAATGGAAATTCCAGAACACTTAATTGTGCTCAGGAGGAACCTGAACATAGACCAGGAGGCTGTTGTTCAAACAGAACAAGGGCATAGAGCATGGTTTAAAATCAGGAAGGGTGTGTGTCAGGGTTGCATCATTTCACCATATTTGTTCAATCTGTATGCTGAGCAAATAATCTAATAAGCTGGATCATACGAGGAAGAGTGCAGCATCAGGATTGGAAGGAGGTTCATTAACAACCTGTGCTACACAGATGACACAACTTTGCTTCCTGAGAGGGAGGACGACTTGAAGCACTTACTGATAAAGATTAAAGACTACAGTACAGTCTGCACTATGGATTACATCTCAACATGAGGAAACTGAAAATCCTCACATCTGGGCCTACAAGCAGTATTCTGATAAATGGAGAAAAGTTTGAAATTGGCAAAGACTTCATATTACTTGGTTCCACAATCAACACTTATGGAAGTAGCAGTCAAGACACCAAACAATATACTGTACGGGCAAATCTACTGCAAAAGATTTCTTTAAAGTGCTGAAGAGTAAAGATGTCTCTTTGAAGATTTGTTGTTGTTGTTACGTGCCATCAAGTTGTACTCGACTCAGAGTGATCCCTCTTTGGGTTTCTGAGGCAGTATCACTACAGAAGTAGATTGCCCAACCTTCCTTCCGAGGAGTGGCTAGTGGGTTTGAACCACCAGCCTTCTGGTTAGCAGTCAAGTGCCTTAGGCACTATGCCACCAGAGAAGATTAAGGTGCATCTAATCCAAGCCATGGTATTTTCAATCGCTTTGTATGCATGTGAGAGCTGGATAATGAATAAGGAAGACTGAAGAAGAGTTGATGCTTTTGAGTTGTGGTGCTGGTGATGAATACTTAAAGTACAATGGACTGCCAGAAGAACTAATAAATCTGTCCTGCAGTGCAGCTGGAATGCTCCTTGGAAGCAAGAATGGTCAGATTTTATTTGACCTACTTTGTTCATGTTGTCAGAAAATACGATTTCCTGGAGAAGGATATCATCCTTGGTAAAGTGGAGGGTCAACGAAAGAGGGCAAAGCCCTCACAAGAAGGACTAACACAGTGCCTACGACAATGGGCTCAGTTAAGCAAGTACTGAGTGAGGCTGTCACAGGACCAGGCAGTGTTCCGTTCTGTTGTACACAAGGTCGCTATGAGTCAGAGTCGAGTCACTGGCACCTAACTACAACAACAGTACAAACTATGGAAGAAATAACAAGATAAAGGAGCTGAACAGAAGGTATCAAAGAGCAGGTCAAGAAGACAAAGACAATTATAATGAAATGTGCAAAGATCTGGAGTTAGACAACCAAAAAAATACTCAGCATTTCTCAAACTGAAGGAACTGAAGAAAAATTCAAGCCTCAAGTTGCAATACTCAAAGATTCTGTGAGCAATATATTGAATGATGCAGGGAATATCAGAAGATGGATGGAATACACAGAGTCATTGTACCAAAACGAATTGGTCAAAGTTCATCCATGATCAAGAACCAGTGGTATTGAAGGAAGAAGTCAAACATGCAGTGAAGGAACTGGCGAAGAACAAGGCTCCAGGAATTGACAGAATACCAATTGAGATATTTCAGCAAATGGATGACACACTGGAGGCACTCACTTATCTATGCCAAGAAATTTGGAAGACATCTGCCTTGGCAACTGACTGGAAGACATTCATATTTGTGTCTATTCCAAAGAAATATAATCCCAGGGAATGTGGAAATTATCAAACAATATCAATATCACACTGAAGTAAAATCTTGCTGAAGATAACTCAAAAATAGCTGCAGCATTATATTGACAGAGCATTTCAAGAAAATGTAAGCTGGGTTCAGAAAAGGATATGGAATGAGGGATAGCATTGCTGATGTCAGATGGATCTTTACTGAAAGCAAAGAATACCAGAAAGATGTTTACTTGTAAACACAACTATGCAAAAGAATTTCATCATAACAAATATCCATAACATTGAGAAGAATGGGAATTCCAGAACACTTAATTGTACTCATGAGGAACTTGTACATAGACCCGGAAGCTGTTGTTTGAACAGAACTAGGGGATACTGCATGGTTTAAATCAGGAAGGGAGTGCATCAGAGTTGCATCTTTTCACCATATTTGCTCAATCTCTATGTGGAGCAAATAATCCAAGAAGTTGGACTATATGAAGAAGAAGAGGAAGACTCATTAACAACCTGTGACATGCTGATGACACAACCTTGCTTGCTAAAAGTGAGGATGACTTGAAGCACTTACTGATGAAGATTAAAGACTACAGACTGCAATATGGATTACATCTCAACGTAACCAAAAAAAAAAAAAAAAAAACCAAACTCACTGCCATCGAGTCATTTCTTACTCATAGTGACCCCCATTTGGGTTTCCAAGGCAGTAAATCTTTACAGAGTAGATCAACGTGTCTTCCTTCCATGGAGCAGCTGGTGGGTTTGAACTGCTGACCTTCCAAGTTAGCAGTTAAGTGCCTTATCACTATGGCACCAGAGCTCCAAAACATAAAGAAAACGAAAATCCTCACAACTAGACCAATAAGCAGGATTACGATAAATGGAGAAAAGATTGAAGGTGTCAAAGATTTCATATTACTTGGCCCAACAATCAACACCAATGGAAGCAGTAGTCAAGACATTAGATGACATACTGCACTGGGCAAATCTGCTGCAAAAAATCTCTTTAAAGTGCTGAAGAGCAAATATGTCTATTTGAAGATTAAAGTGCACCTAAACCAAGCCACACCCACCAGCTACTCCTCGGAAGGAAGGTCAGGCAATCCTACTTCCGTAGTGATACTGCCTCGGAAACCCAAGGGGGGGTTGCTATGAGTCGGGGCCGACTTGACGGCACATAACAACAACAACAAACCAAGCCACGGTATTTTCAATCATCTCATATGCATGTGAGAGCTGGACAACGAATAAGGAAGACCAAAGAAGAGCTGATGCTTTTGAGTTGTGGTGCTGGTGAAGAATACTAAAAGCATGGTCTGCCAAGAGGACTAACAAATCTGTCCTGGAAGACATGCAGCCGGAATGTTCCTTGAAGTGAGAATGGCCAGACTTCATCTCACCCACTTCGGTCATGTTGTCAGAAGGGACCATTCTCTGGAGAAGGATATCATGCTTGGTAAAGTAGAGGGTCAATGAACAAGGGGAAGGCCCTTGTAAAAATGGACTGATAAAGTAGCTACAATTATGGGCTCAGGTATAGCAAAGATTGTAAGGCTGGTATAGAACCAGGCAGTGTTTCGTTCTGGTCAGGGTCACTATGCCTCGGAGCCACCTCAACCTAACGACAACAACAATACAAACCAAACAAGAATTCCATCATAAAGACGTTTAATTTGATATAAAAATAACATGTAGTATTTGTTAAAGCTTCGTGTTCACAAATCCATTACCCTATGTTGTCCATACAACCACTTGTAACAGGGGTACTTTTTCTATCCACAACTTTATAGCTAAGAAAATGGAAACAAAGGGTCTTCATTTTACAGTTAAGGAAAAAAGGCTCAAGAAAATGTGTCCTTTAAGGCAATCGTCAAACAGGCTGTGGGATAAGGCACTTAGTTTGGCCCTTTGACTCTGGTTTCTGAAAATAATCCAAGCATTCAAAATCCCTTTGTTTTCCAAAATAGCCTGGCAAGTAGGGGTTACACAGGCACTACACTTGGTACATTAACCTCAGGAAGGGAGGTAGGCATGATACAAAAATAAACTCACTGCCATTAAGTCAGATCCGACTCATAGCGACCCCTCCGTGGGTTTCCAAAGCAGTATCACTATGAAAGGTGATTGCCCAATCTTTCTTCTGAGGAGTGGCTGGTAGGATTGAACCATCAAGCCTTCTGGTTAGCAGTCAAATGCTTTAGGCACAATGCCACAAGAGCTCCTAGGCTTGATGTAATCATTCATATTCATTGACTGGATTGATTATAACTATGCATTGAGGTACTAGTCATGCATGTTCATTGGGGTTCCAATGACTAGGATACTCTGGACTTTGATGCTCTCTCTTTGGGGCTTCCTGGATTGGTGAGGCCATCCATACACAGGACAGGGAGTGGCATGTCCCTGGGAACAATGGAGTCTTCATGCCAGGTACCTTATTTGATGTGTTTTTATGCTTGTAACCTTTCTGGTTATTATAAATAGGTAACTGTAAGTACAGGCAATAGTTTCCATGAGTTCTGTGAGTCATTCTAGTGAATAATCAAACACACTATAGGCAGTGAGAGCCAGCCGAGAGGCTGTCATTTGCCTATTTGGCAAGGGCTGGAAGGACCGAGTCCTAACTTGTGGAGACCCAACTCTGGGTGGTGAGAATCAGATAGGGAAAGTGCCACGTGGATGTCTGATGTCAGAATGATGATATGGTAAATTAGGGACAGGAATTATCTTCACATTTTGGAAATTAGCCTTATGTTGCCTATTATTCATATACACTGACTCTCTCCTCTTGAAGAAAGCACACAGGGGCTAGTGCAGGGTAGTCCCAGGCCCCTGTTGGAAGCTCCAAGAATGAAGGCTACTAGACACATGGAGTGAGTGGATCCCAAAGGGAATGTGCATGTGAATGTGCATCTTCTGACAGAGTAGAGTTAGGGTCACTCACCAAAAGAGGCCCAGCTGTGGTGATCTTGTTTGGTTTAAACAGTGTAGAGGAAGAAACTTCCTCCTATAGGACCATCTAATAGTCTAAAGAAATGCAGAGGGCATACCTGTTCCCAATGGACTGGCACACAGCAGGGGATGGCCACCTTAAAAAAAGAAGCAAAGAATTAGCAAATGGGTGCTCAACAGAAAATGTGGCAGAACAATAGAGTAATCCAGGTTCCCAAAAACAAGCCATCCCTACTCATGTTCACTGTCACAAAGTTTGAGAACTCCAAACCTGGCAAGACCTAGAATTTAGAGTCCAGTTTTGTGGTGACTCTTGGAAGGTCACAGTCCTTTTTGAGGATTTCATGAAAATCATGGGACATTCCCCAAGAAAAGAGCACACTGCTCCTATATACCAAACATCATCTTCAGTTTCAAAGGATCCCTTGGCTCCCAGGCTAAGAACCTCTGGAGAGTTCAATCTCTCCTCTCTGGAGAGCATAGATGGGGAGCAGCGGCCAGAGAAGGGAGGTGGGACTTGCCTGGCATCTTCACACCACCCTGTGTTCCTCACAAGGACACCAGCAACCCCTTTATGAAAGCCCTGCTTTCAAACAGACAGTCTTTTCTAGAATTGTTTGCACAAGTGGAACTGAAAACAGAGTCTAAATTTTGTGGTAATATCCATATGGGCATTTTGCCCTGTGGTTTTTAAGGCTGTCCAAGAGCCAGTAGTGGTTCAGTGGTAGAATTCTTACCTCCATACAGGAGACCCAGGTTCAATTTTGGCCAGTGCACCACATGTGCAGCCACAACCTATTTGCCAGTGAAGGCTTGTGTTATACCATGATGTTGAATAGGCTTTAGTGGAGTTTCAGAAAAACCTGATGACCTACTTTGAAAATTTAACCAATGAAAACTCTATAGATCACAACAGTCTGATCATTTGGATGGAACAAGACAGAGCAGTGTTCCAATCCATTGTGCAAGGGGTCCCCATGACTGGGGCCGACTGGATAACACTTAACAAATAACATTTTGTTCTAGGCTTAGAAATGCAATGCATGAGATAGTAGGAAGTAATTTCCTTTGACTCTGCTGTCATCCTCTGGAGAACTCTGAGCTTATGAAAAAAGACATACACAAACCAATGTGATGAGACACAAGAACTAACTAAATTAAACTGAGTCACAAGAGACAAAACTAACAGTACTGAGACAGCTGATCCAACAGGGATGAAGACACCAACTTTGGAGTCAGACAGTGTCAGGGGACAGCTCTATTCTACCACTTACTAGTTAACCTTGACCTTTAAATCTCCCTGTGCCTCAGTTTCCTCATCCAAGAAATGGAGGTAAGAATAGTACCTTTCTCATTGGGGAAGACTAGGAGACCTTGTCTAGGGAGCTCAGAGCAGTGGTTGGCCTGAGGCAAGTGTTCCACTCACAGGAGCAAAAGAGCTCTCTAAGTAGAGGAGATCCTTGATGGTGAAGGAACCAGGCATGCTTTGCGTGGCTCCAGAAGGCCAACCAGGACCTTGGGTTCCTGGGAAACATGTTTCAGCTCCTCACAAAACTGCTTTTGTTCCTTGCTTCCTCCTGGCTCTCTCCCTACTCCTGAGTCACTTGCACCCCCATTCTTAGATAATTTTCCAAAATGTGCAAAGAAAGGAAAAACCCCAGGGATCTGACATCTACCCTGTGGCTTCTAGTGGGCAGATGGGTGACCTTTATTCTTGCTATGGCAACTATTTATAGTACTGAGTTACCTAATATAGTAAGTTCCTCAAGAAGAAGATGACACATGGTCATTCATCTGTCTGTGAAATTTTATTAGTCCACCAACATGCTGACACATATTCTCATTTAGGGCAGTGGTCCTTTCTCATGGAATCCCACCTCTGCCCCTGAGTACTCACCACTCCCCCACATACCCAGTGGCCCTCACACGGCCAAGACCACCATCAAGGATCTCCTCTACTTAGAGAGCTCTTTTGCTCCTGTGAGTGGAACACTTGCCTCAGGCCAACTACTGCTCTGAGCTCCCTAGACAAGGTCTCCTAGTCTTCCCCAATGAGAAAGGTACTATTCTTACCTCCATTTCTTGGATGAGGAAACTGAGGCACAGGGAGATTAAAGGTCAAGGTTAACTAGTAAGTGGTAGAGTAGAGCTGTCCCCTGACACTGTCTGACTCCAAAGTTGGTGTCTTCATCCCTGTTGGATCAGCTGTCTCAGTACTGTTAGTTTTGTCTCTTGTGACTCAGTTTAATTTAGGCAGTCTGTTTTCCCCTACACTGAGACTTCCTCGAGGCAGAGACCATATTGTTTTCATTTGTTTATTCTCAGCTGCACATGCAAACACTAAACTTTGATGAATGGTGAGGGGATAAAGGAACAAACAAACACAAAGCAAAAACCAAACAAGTGGCTTTGGAAATATAAGAAGTGACAAGTAGATACTCATGGACAGTGAAGGCAGACAGGAAAGAAGTCTGTGGTTAACCCTGTAGTTACTGGAGTGATTGATTTTTCATCCTGAACACCATATTCACTTCAAACATAAATGCATCACAGTGCTTCTCTAAATGTGTGACATGCTGGCAAGGAATGTGTAAGGAATCAGAGGTCATGCTTCTATGGATTCATTATCTGGAAGCAATTTTTTGTTGAGGAAACAGAAAAGAAATCCCCTATGCAATGTTAGAAACTTGAGCTTAAAAATGACAGCCACCTTAGGTATCTAGACCCAGGCGTGTGCTATGCACCCCATATCCCTTTGTGACCAAGTGGGTGTATTAGCACTGTCTACTTGGCCTGGACCAGAAAATGACAGATTCTAGCTGTGACCTGGGGTTGCCAAGAATTTGGCCTTACCTGACCCATCAAAACAATCCAACCTCGACAGCTAACATCACTAAAGAGCTTTCCCTTACATGTCTGATCTTGTCTACTAATTTCATTTATTCAACACATTTTTATTGAGTGTCTTCTCTTGCCAGGCACTTCTCATTCCTTCATAGTGATGCTTTACTAACAAAACAGAAAAATGCCAGTCCTCATGAGGCTTATATCTTAGTGATAGGAGACAGTACATATAACAAATACATGACATTATATGATTTATCAGAAAGCAGTCTCAAGGCCATGAAAGTGGGGGCAAAGTCCCTAAGACAGAGAAGAAAGGGGAAGCATGCAAAGCTCTCCTCATCCATACCAGCATCCCAGCCACAAAAGAAACTCTCTTCCAAGAAATTTGAGTACAACTCACACTCTGACTTCATATGTATTGTTATAAAACATAGACTTTAGTCTACAATAAGTTCACAAATGAAAATGCTTAACCATGCCTGAGAAAAGGCAAAAAGATATTTACTCAGAGCCATATCAAGAATAGCAAGCATCTAGTTTAGTAAAAAATCATTATCAAGCATATACCTTGGGAACTTATTGTTTCAATGTGGCTAAAGCCAAATTCTAGGGCAAGAACTACCTTAAAATATACTGTATTCATCTCATTTCTCCTCCCTTAGAATAAAAAAGAATAATAAACCCTTTATAAAATGGGCATCTTATAGTGACTTGATAGAACCATGAAACCATGCGATTAGCTCAAAGATGCATGTTTCCCTTTCTATTGGGTATTAGGACACGTCTATAAGGAGTAGTTGCACAATAGTGCAGTCTGTTCCACTGACTGCAGAGTTAAGTGTTAGCTTGTATCCTTCACCTTGAACACAGAGCAAGTCAGCTGGTACCTTACCCAGAGCCAGGCACCTTACCCAGAGCCACCTACCTGTTCCTCCACACTGGGTGGGAATCCCTGAAGCATTCTTCTCATACAGTGCACAACCAGGGTGCTGCCCAGAACTCAGGGTGACCCTGAGGTAATGTGGTAAATCAAGCAGTGCTTTGCTGACATACAAAGGTTTTCAGGCTTGCAACTAGAGCACAGCTACTGAGCTCCTGGTTCCATTTGATCAACATCTGGGAAACTCAGTTTATCTTGTCCTAAAGGTATTTCAGACTGTCCGTGCAAAACACAAGCTATAAATCCACACCTAACTTTGTATATTGAACAGCCCAGAAACATCAAAGGGCCCAATACCACTAAAGCTGTGGCTTGTCCCAGGTGAGTGTCCAGGTTACATGGGGATCTAGCACCAACTGTGGAATCCAGAGTCTGGGCCCTCTCAACAGTCTACATTGCAGAGCTCCTCAATGCTAGCTTGCTCTGCTGCTCACATATCCCTGGGTGGTATTCACTACCACATTTCAGGGTCTCACATGAGTAACATCTGCCCACAAAGGAGCACAGGACAGAACTACCAAATAAGTTGTACAACTGCTCATTTTCAGAGCACATGCAGCAATCACTGACGATCCCTCATTGCCCCTCTGCCTCCTTGCCCCCACTTGGCACCAAGAACAAAATACCAGTGGATATGGAGACTCTGCAGCTAAGTCTCTGCATTTGAGAAGCCCCAGCTAGTGGAGAAGACAGATAACCTAGTACCCAACTGCTGTGTAGTATGATAAGGACCATAAGAGGGGAAAGGACAGAATGCTGGGAAGCAGGGAAGAAACAGCCACTCATACTTGCCTGTGGATGGCAGGACCAACACAGGGATGGCTGCCTAATAAGAAGTGGCCTGGTAGTGTGATAAGAATCTGGCCTTTAAGAAATGAATGTGTGGAAAAGCAAAGATGTGGACTTCTGGTAAGATGGAGGAATAAGCAGGCAAGCGACATAGACCCTCTTCAACAAAGAAGAAAAAAAAAAAAAAAACAATTGACAGAGATACAGAAGATAATCATGGAACCCTGAGCTTTGAAAGGAACTATACAGAAGTGGATTAGGCACCAACTAGTGG